GGTCTGGGGAGTGCTGGTAAAGCCACACCTCATAGTCTCCGTCATCACTTAAATGTTCGGCGATGTAACCAGGAGCCAGAGATATCTGATACGTTCCACACGTAATGGTTCTCAAGTAATCAAGATCGAGACGGGGAAACAGTACGGAAGATGCATCCATCTTGACAAACTCGGACCTTGCCCGTCTAGATAGATCCGGATCTGTCTTGACTCTCTGAGCTAAACCATTCGGTGTTGTCAAACGGTCCTTCATACGTTCAGCCATTAGCCTATCTTTGGCATCTCTCTCTGGAGATCTCTGGTAGATCGGTCCTCTAATACCATTCAGACAGGCTGTGACGGTTCGAAGCAAAGCCTCGATGACATTGATAAAGCTGTTAGACACCAATTGCGTTCGGAAGAACGTCCAGTGTTTCAGACGACCATGATAGGATTCCACAATCCACCTCGATTTGGTGATAGTTCTGTCAAGATTTGCTTGGACGTCAGAATGTTGACTTTGACCGGGTTTCAGGTATGACGGCATGCTAGCATTGAGGCCAGAGGCTTCGAGAACTGGTAGGACATCTCTAAAACCTCGGTCAACGACAACGTTGTCGTCTGGTTGTAGCCAAGTAACTAGCTTGTCCATGACTTTTTTTGTAATTGTAGCATCATTTTCGCTGCCAGTGAATGGTCCTACTGTGTCCAGAATGTAGCCATCTGGTAAGGCGATGCTCATGAATTTGAGATAGTTTCTCTTCTTCTGGCCACAGTAGGACATTCTCTGGAGCTTGTGGTCGGAGCTTTTCTGGATATAAATATAGGTGCCATCTAATATGGCAGTGGCTTTATCTCCAAAAAATGCTTCTGAAAAGACAGTATTGTGCCCGAGCAACTGTTCTCTTGTCAAGTGATCCGGACCTAGAAATTGTGGGACTATCGATGTGTCTAATGCCTGTACTATGGAGTGGAAAGTTTTGGACACACTTGACTTGGAAATTCCAAAAAGAGAAGAACACTGACTCCAGGAAATGTCGGTTTTCAGTTTTACCCAGAACAGTAATAGAGCATCGTGTGTAGTCTTGGTATATATACCAGATGAAAGATATGGGGAACAGTGCGAGTGGATTTCGAGGAACTGATCTTTGGACCAACCTGTCCAGGCCATGCATGCCGAGTCATCAAGAGAAGAAAAGCTTATTGTAAACGCAGACTGGTTCTGTGAAAGGACGTGCGACACCTCTAGGAGGTCATTAATGATTTCGGACGATTTTGATGGTAACTGAGATTCCAAGGAACCTCTACCATCAAGGACAACCTCTGTAGACGGATCTAAGTCGTTACCAATAAGGTGAATGGAGCAGACGCGGGATGAGGTGGGACACCACAGTTTGTGTGAATAGATCAGGTGATGTCTTGCACGTTTTGGTAAGACTGATGATTTTGTTCCATTTCTTGCAAAGGTAACAAGACAGAGACAGCATTTTTTGTGTGAAGATGATCCATTCAAAAGATCATGAAGGGTCAGCAACGGCAGGATATGGGACGGGGAGTCGTCTTCTTCCTCTATTTCCTGGTTCTGCTCGGGTTCAGGTTCAGGCTGATTTTTGTTCCGAAGATACTTCATGTAGCACTTCTGGCAAATAAGTGCTTGTTCCTTTGCTGACATCAATCCTTGTTGCACCAGCGTATCTAGGAGCCATTTATATTGTGGACTATTTACATTGCGTGCACTTCTGTTCTTATTGCCACTACGTTTCTTGAAGTATACTTGACACCCTTCTCCAACACATTTACCCTCCATCTTGAAACAATAACGATTGGTTTATGAAGCGTCGATAAAGTAACAAAATAGCAAGCCACCGATGATTGCTGTAAACAGCTAATACTTAGTAGTTTGGTACAATTATGCGAAAATGTGTGATAAATAACGAACAACTAATTACACAAAATAACAAGACAATATAATAAATCACATTCAATACCTCCAAGAAGCGCAGAATTGATTGATTACTTAGAACAAAATAAAGTATTTCATATGGATAATCTATCTATTCGATGTGGCGTGGTCGGCAGGCACAAAGAAAGTGAGACAAGTCAGGGTCCCAACCCTGACAGAGCCACAACGCTTTGGAGATGGGACAATAAAACAAGGAAAGTGAGACAAGAATAGCTAGCGTCGAGTCAATGATTCCGTAAACGTATAGACAAAGACAAGAAGATACGGATAAATGTACAAGGCCACACGATCAGAAAATTCAGAAGAGGACAACTTGAGATAGAACAGTATTCATGTATCAGGGTGTCCTCAGTGTAAATCTTTATATCGATACTGTTTATTTAGTCGTTACACATCATACAACTGTTTGTATATAATAAGCTACATCGGGTTTCAGACAAGGTTGTTACTCATTTCCCCTTTTCTTTCAATTTACAACCACATTCAGGCGGCGATATGAGAACGTTCCACCACATGGAATTAGCTGATTTTTGGTACACATATGAAACAAGTAAAGCTCTATCCGATTTTCTGATGGAAATTTGCATCCAAAACTATATACCGGGGGAAAATTGCAATTTTATGGCATTTTTCTTCATAATTGTGTCTCTGCAAGTGCATTTTCATCCGCGATTTTTTTTTGTTTTATGTTTTATGAATAAACACGATGTTTTGGAAATACTTATCAAAAGAAATTTATACTATGTTGCGAATTACAATTTCGAGATAACCTTCTTTTATTTACGAACTTATGTCTTTGATGCTGAAATTGACAACTTTATAGAAATACATTTTCACTGAAATTATGAAATCTGGGTGTCGGAAAGGTGTAAAATTATTCTTCGGAAAAGAAAAACAGTAGTTGAGCTAGATAAGAAATTATACGGGGGCAGGCTCCTATGGAGAATTAACATTACTGTTTCTGATTTGACATATTTACGAAACTTTTGAAAGGTACCCGACTTACCTGTCCTTTCAATTCAGTCAGAAGTGACCAAAAACTAGTATTTATGCATAACCGTATCACACAATATGTAATTATATATAACTTGCCATAGCCTTCACTATCATTGCTATGCCGATGACGTACAAATTAACATGGTCATCAAACCACAGGACAGTTGGAATACCGTCACAGAAAGTCTGGAAGCTTGTCTGACAGATATCAGTATCTGGATGAACGCCAACATGATTAAGCTTAATCAGGAAAAGACAGAACTAATCGTCTTTTCCCTAAAGTGTCAGCAAACAATGGCTCTCCAGCTCAAGGTCGGTGCCAGAACTATTGAGACTGTTCCAGCTGTTAAAAACCTAGGGGTATACTTTGATAGTTCACTGAACATGGACAAACAAGTGAACGCTATTGCTAAATCCTGTTACTACCAGATCAGGAACATCGGCTGCATTCGGCAGTTTTTAACTGCATATGTATGCAAGATTTTGGTGCATTCACTTGTTACCTCTCGGTTGGATTATGGTAACGCCCTGCTCTGTGGTATATCTGACAAAATAACTAGTCGTGTGCAGAGGGTCCAGAACACTGCAGCACGGCTAGTTACTCGTACTCGAAAGAGAGAACACATCACACCTGTGCTATATTCGTTGCACTGGTTACCTGTACGATACAGGTCTCAGTACAAAATTCTGGTGTACACATACAAGGCACTGAATGGAACAGCTCCTCAGTACATACAGGAGCTTGTTACCCTGTATCAGCCGTCACGATCACTGCGGTCGGAGTTAGAATCTTTGTTGTGTGTCCCAAAATCTCGTACTGTGACCTACGGAAACAGATGCTTTGGAAGGGTTTCGGCTACGTTGTGGAATAGCTTACCATCTGCAATAAGAAAGTCCAATACCCTGGCAAAGTTCAAGAGGGACATCAAAACTCACCTCCTTACGTCTGCATTTTAGAATCTTTGCAAAGATGTTATGTAAATACCACCCTTTTATTTGTTCAATTATTCGACTAAACAGAGTAAGTAAACAAATCTTCTAATGTTCCAGAAAATGGAAGTGATGTATATTTACATACAGTATATAAATCCCCGATTTTATTGTGGCAGAAAAATTTGTAAGACTCCCTTTTCGTTCCTTTGCATATAAGTGCAAATCATTGTCCATTTATTGAGTATCCGTTTTGGACTCTTTGAGCAACACCGAACTTAGTTGTTATGTCAACTCGTTAAATGGAAGTTTACTAGCACTCAGGGTTCGTTCACAGGTAGATAGACATAACCTTCTTCTCTTATCAAATGTCCAGGTAGCTAATTAAAATCATCTGTGTCGTTGAGCACAATTCATGTACGATATATAATGGAATATCAGATAGAGTAAAAACTTGTTATAACTACGAAATCAACTAGTTCCCTTTGGCAAATTCGATTTTGTTGGTTAGAACAACGGATTCTCTGGAAAAACATTTGCACTGCGAGCAAGTAGATCGGGATTAATAGGGTGAATATGTAAGTACTTGAAGTTTTCTAGTATGACTGTTTATTTAATAAATAATTTCATTATTATTCCTCTTTGGAGCGTGCTCGAGAATGGGCGTTGTCTCGTAGAGCTCGTAAATTACCCCGTTGATGTAAGCACCTCACCATGGACATAAGGATTCGGTGAAGTGTTAAAAATCCTTTGCAATTGGAATTTGAAAAGGGCAAGGTTTGTTATTGAGGTGCTGGGATAAACATAAACTTCCAAAAACGTAATGTTAGGTATGTTCACATCTAAGTTATAAGGGAAGCAACTCTTATGAAAAAGATATTGGGTTCATAAACTGATAATCATTATTATCATATTTTGTAATGTAGTGTTCAATTGTTTGCCAACTCAGTAACTTTTTGTTAGTATTAAATCCAGTAGTAACGATCGAAAAACAAGTAAAGTGGTTGTAATGATAAATTTGCCCTCATCGAGGTTGGTGAAAAGGCAAAAATTAAAATGCAGCGAAAATTTCCCGATATACAGTATGTTCGTATATCAACGTGAATTATAAAAGTGTAATTGTAACAACATAAAAGCTTTAACATTTTATTCTGTTTCTTAACAAAACATATAGTAATTAGAATATTGTGTTATTCCTTTTGTAAATATAATAGAATTACAGCTATACTTATATCATTTGTTCATAATGTTTTGTTTAATTGACCATAACTCATTTATATATTACAACCAATTGTATGTTCTCTGACATTCTACAATAACATTTTATTACACAGTCTTCAATAGAAACCAACACAACGTACGCCACTACAATGTCCTGTTAGTCACACCAACACGACGCATGCGTATCATCCCAATATCCACGTCTATGCCTAATCTTTGACATCAGTTGAATGTGTTCCTGTCTGAAAGTATACGATATTGTCATTAAAAAATATATCATCAAATATTTTCCTCTGACAATGAAATTGATTACTTGTATGATGTATATCCTATATACATGAAAAACAAATCATCCGCGAGACTGTTTTCCTGCCTGCCTTATCTTTCCATTGAAACATGAAGATACATAACTCTTACCTCTTTTCTTCGATGTTTGATATAAATGCAGTCTTCTTGCACTTCCAAACTTCCATATATTGTGATAATAAGTCTGTCTTGTAGTACAACAGGTACGGGTTCATTGATCCGTATCTAAACAAAATGCTGAAATATGTTAAACACTTACACATTATACCCGGTGTTTCGGTTTGAGTTTGCCAAGCATGCATTTCTAATGGTTCGAATCAAATGTGCTATAAATTGATCTTATCCAGTTTAAATTTCAATATTGTATCTGTTATTTAAGATCTTTCTAAGCTGGCTCTTTGTTACCAATAGTATAAGATAGCATGTCACCCCAGTAGATAATCTACACATTTCGTATCACGAGTGACAGGTTACATACCACACTCTAGGATCTCTGTCGCGCGCACTGCACTGTATTTTTCCTATATACAGTTACCTCCCCTTGATTTCGTTTTTAGTATAACACATTCTGAAGTCTGCGGTTCGAATCTCGGTGTAGCCTCCGCTGGGTTTTTTTAAAAACACAGCACTAGGGTTGATTATATTTTGTTTGTTTTGTTTTTCACCACTATTATTTTTCAGATATTGATTAATTTTCATAAATAATTAATCAAAGTAATGGTCTTAATTTAAATTAAGATTTTATAAGAGGTTACATATGCTCCCGACACATTATATGCTGTACATTTCGATATCTTATCATGATAAATTGTCGTTTTATATATTGAAATATTTCCTTGTTAACTATCAGTAATGCATAAATTCCTGAATATTTCACGAATGGAAAATTATGAATTCGCCCTCATATTTCACTATGACCATAGTCTGCCCAGACTTTAAAACAACAGTTTTAAAGTTATTATATTAAGCTAGATTTCTAACATTTTAAAAAGGAAAAAGAAAACTATTCTTATATCATGTTTACGCGATGTTACCATTTGAAATAAAGGATTACAGGTGCTTTGAAATTGAATGACAAATTTTGACGTCAGTAAATCATACACAAAGTGTCAGCTTTTGCATAATATGAAGTTTAGGCATTGTAAAATAATGGTATAAATATATAGTCATTAACAACAAAATATATTTAAGTATTCTGAAGCATTTCTTGGTTCGTTTTTGGACAGTATTTCTCTGTTATATTAATATCAGTATTCAAAAATATAACAAAACGTCAATAAATGACATAGAAAAAATTGTATGAAAACATTTGATAGAACAATTCTTTGAATAAATAGTTCAGATCATACGTTATCCTACATGATAAAAAGATCAAGTCCGAGAAACAGACTACAACACATTTGATATATATTAAAAGTCATATATATATATAAAGAATACTCATACGGCGAAGCTTTACTTACCATTCATCATGGGCAAATGAGTAAAATTTCTTTCAACAAATTTTAATTAAACCAAACTCACCTTTTAAGGTAAAGGTCAAATCACATTGACAATAACAGAGGCTATATATATCGCCATCTAATACAATAATGTGTGTTAAAACAATAACAAGAAAACAAATAACATTAGAAAGTATATGGTAGTTTAGGTGCAATTTGACAATACAGCACGATCGTATATGATTTCCTAATCGAATCGTCAAATATGATACGCCTTATAGGTAAATATTATAAACATTGAAATTACAGAAATGTATAATATTCAGTTATGGGTTAACATACAATACATTTCAACATATATATTACAGTTAATAAGGGGAAATAATTAGTAAAAGTAATCTTTAATATTTTACAAATGAAATGGTTCAAATCAACGAGATGGTACAACTGTTACACTTTATTAGTTGTATATAGTATCACCAATTTAGCTCCACTTCCTGCCGGTGACCCCGAAATAGGCCAAATCTACCGTATGTTTGGAATTCTGTTTTAAGCCTCGTGTTCAGAATAACGATAATCAGAACCAAGCCAATCAAAGACACTGTTAGGTCAGTTATGTCACAAAAGACTTAATACATCACTACTGATCATATGGGACTGGAATAAACATAAAGTACACAGAAATGAATAAAGAACCACATAATTATTATAATATAACTTCACTTTTTTATTCAAAAATAGGACGTTTCAACAACTGCTATAGTTATGTACTCTTTGGTAACATAAAAAAACACACAATTGACAACTACTGACCATATGATATATATTAGGCTGAATGTCAGCGCACGTTGCTAAAATAATAGATAAAAATAACAACTACACAGACAGCTGAAATGCTTCTACCAGCTATTGAAACTATAGATTAACCTTTTAGTCAAACATATATACTCACAACAAATGCACTGAAATCATATTTCTATCCAATCAGGCCTTGGGGTAACACATACCAGTTTTACTACTAGTGTAATCCTGGTCAGCTGGTTGTATCACGACTCCATCGACACGGAAGACGAACGTACCAGGTACACCTACATTAGACCTGTGAACCAGGTTAACTACGTCATCACTGAGGGATCCGTTTACAGTGTAGCTATTCAACCCATCTCCAGCGTTAAATCCAACCTTAGAAAATGAACGAATAGAAGAATAAACATTTGCTGTTAAAATGATAAAGGTTTTTAACCTATTAAGGTATTGAGATAAAAAGGACTGCAAAAAGTGTATTCGCTTCTGTAAGGTTTCGTTCTGCATGCAGATACACGACATGATTCTATGAACTAACAGTCTACTCCAATACTATGCAACATAACGTCAAAATTGTAATATAGTAAAAGGTAATCGAGATATTTTTGTTAGGAAATATGTTTTCATTAAACTTACCATGACATTCCTTGACCAGTCCAGTCTTAAGTAGTGGAACATCACAAATGATTTCGTACCGTCAGTTGTGAGTACGATCTGGAAAGTATTTCTCTGTATCGATAAACAAAAGTGACTAGATATATTGTTTCACAGTGAGAAAAACATAACTAATCCAAAAAATCAAACAGCTAAATTAGGAATTTCGCGTTTACAGTTTTCTTTTTATCTGGAAGGCAAACGCTAATGCAAGGCTCAAAGGATACTGAATGCTTTCCTTCTTAAGATATAAAATCAGAAAAAAAACGTAAATTGTTTAGAATGAACCGCTTTCTACAGCCGGTAATGGAAGTATTTGCATTATTTTCCAGTATTTTTGATAAGTAAAGACTCAACATTGTCTGCAAGCGAAAATGGTCAATGGTCTTTAGTTTGTAAAAAATCAATAATATTTTTCAATCACCAAGGTCTTCAAGACGTGATATCTCCATGAAGGAAACCACTTCAGCGATTTGGTATAAGAAATTTTGCAAATAAAATATTAAACGACAGCAAACAAGATCCTTCACTTGTGGTAAAATTAAAACTGAAGAAGTGTTATTAATGTCCATTTGGTATAAACGTTGAAAGGCACAAATATGGCGTTTAAATAATTAACATAACACGACTAACTTACATTTTTTTTTACAGTTGGGTATAATTCTCAACATCAAATAATTATAATTGTTATGTAAGACTTGTCAAATCATGAGTTACATCTTACAGATGAGACATATTAAGGGCAATAATTTTACTTTCTTTAATTAACAAAATGTGAGTTTGCCTTTTAGGTCCTTTCCTATACTAAACACACCAAAAATGTGGGAATCCAATAAAACGATATATCTATGTTAGACATAAACGACGAAGAAACGCCAAATTAAAAGGAATGTAATCCTACCAGTTGTGAATATTTTCCAGAGGCTCCATAATAAGGTACCTTGTGCCAGGTTACTATGAATACCATTGATGGATTGAAATGCTTTTGATCCGAAAATGCTGATTGTACATCTGATGCTGCACGGGTCAAGAGGTCAGAGCTGTTATTACGCTTGTACCAGATCTGTCCGACATGTGTCGTATCAATATCAGTCCAGAATGCTGCGATCATCACATAACTACCGTTCGGAAATGCATCTGGGGTATAGTCCCCCAATAACGTCCCAAATGTTATGTCACCATTGGTGTTTACCTACAAAATAATGGTTAGCATAGGTAGCCAGCACTTATGTTCAAAATTATAAATAGCACTTAAAATGAAAATAACTAAATTAGTCAATTTGTTTTATTTTCATAAATGCAAAATTGAAAGGTCAATTTAAAACGTATTTGGCAAACATAAAGCAGACAAGGCCTATTTTTCGAATACTCTTCATGCATTAAATGCATTTGAGCGTTGTTTGTACCTTTGCTATGTATCCAAAGACACCAAACGGTGGACTATATGTGCCATTCGTTTGTATCAAAATACATTTTTCTAGTAAAAATTATATACGTACGTATGCTGAGGTTTGGACGTTATTGAAATAAGGAAACGAAATCGGGATTGCTGAGGAGCTTCCATCATCATTACGGCGTAGAAGCTGGTCATCTGTTGTTGTTACGTTGTCGTAGGGGTACGGGTATAGGTCGTCCACGGTCAAACTGACCACACCACTTAGGCTTACAGCGAACATTATTAACGTGAGCATGGTTCAGGGCGATCACATACAAATCAATGATCAAGCTGTGTAGAACATACTATTACCTCTCTGTTTGTGTCTGATATGCACTGTACTGATAAACCGCAAAGAATGAATGAACTAGATATCTTCTTTAGATAACCTAGGGCGCTATGTCGTCAAGGTTTTTTGACACACCGTTAGGCAACGCAGGTGTCTAGGGGATTGTGCATACTACGAAATTTGCTTAACGTGGAATTGCACAGTAGATAACGTTTTGCTTTATATCACAAAAATTACCACTGAAAATAAGCCTGAAATTATACCACTGGCCACTTAAATATGACTATTCTCTCCGTCAGAATTAAGAAACCCTCTTCAAAATATTCTGTCCATTTCAGCATAGTCACAGAATAGATCCACATGACCAATACATTAACACAAGAAAAAAACTGTAAAGCTAACCATGCTTTGATAACTTTAGCTACTCGTCAAACACCAAGCAGCCTAGCTGGCTGGATGTGGCTAAAGGTCACCGCCGCGGTTTTCCTGTATTTCTGCAAAACCTTATCTCCCTTAGTAGAACATTGGACTAACCCGATCAGCCGGATCTGAATGAGGTCGGTCTATTTGTAGGGCCGGACCGTATTTGTAAGTTATCTCCCTCCGATGTAATATTAGACTACTCCAATCAGTCAGATTTTAGATGATGTTGTGTCGCTTTTGTAACACAAGTCAAAAAGTACTAGCAGAGACGTATATATTGTACGTCTTTGGTAATACACATAATATTTGATAATATCCATGAATTGTTTATAGATAATGAACGGCAAAAGAGTACATTATAGGAGTTTTTTGTACTAGAGTGGAACCTACGTATTACCTACGATGTCGCTTATTATAATTCTTTTCCCATGTACCGATTTTATCCTTTAACTAAGCGAAAAAAAATTGTTTATTATGATATGGTCAAAGGTTGAACCCCGCTTATTATAATATTTTTTCTGCTGTGAATGGATTTTATGAGGTAAAATCTCAGGTAAGTTGTCTGTGTTTGACACAAGGACAAGTGAACAATAGGTCGGGCTAATTATATAACTGTACATCGCCCGAGGTGATCAACTGTCCACTCATGGTAAAATTTTCACACACCCGTCAGTAGAAAACAATAGATCGACCATCGCTTTCTAGTCATATATATTAGTCTAAACAAAACATGTGCGGTAGTTAATTGCTATCTAAAATACACTGTAGGACTGTGTATGAAATGGAAATGAAAAGGCCAATCTGATTAAAATCATCTGTTACATGGCTCCGTAAACCTACCGACATTTTTTGACACAAATTCTGATAAGAAAAAGAGCATGCATTCCATTAATATTAACGGTTATTTTTAATTGACACGTCATGTGAGAAAATCATGCCGATTCAATGAAAATCTTACTCCAGAAGGGGGACGTGTGTTTTTAATCATTTAAGCAATGGTTTTTCTATTTTCTATTGCATTACAAGTTGATTTCCCCGTGTCTACGTTGAAAAAGTGTCAAAATCGGGGCATGCCGTCCTGACAGCATGGTGCCGAAAATCGATCCAAAGTTACCTTTGTTGTCGCGAACAACTGACGACGCCTGCTTTATTTACAATATACACCATTTTCGTTGAAAAGAATATTTAATTATTATTATAAAAGAAACATTTAGTGTTTTTAGTTGTTATTGTTTCTATGCAATATGATTTCACCGCACGACTTGCGAGGCACGTGTGATTGTCACGTCATCGTAATTTACATAGTGCGGCAAAACATTATAACGCTTATGGGCCAAAATGTAACGCAACTTCTCGGTGCAAAATAGGTAAATCATGAGAATTTCGGACTCCTGTGGTGCAATGCAGGATATTGCACTTGGCAAATACATTTCAAATGTTGCGTGTGGTCAGGTAATATATGTTTTTAACAGAGGAAATAAGGGTAACAGTTTATTGAATTGTCTGGGGCTTGAAATACCTGAGCACTCATCCCTTCGATGGCCGATTGACACTCATATTACGGTACTATGCCGACTGCATCATCTAGTATCTTGACGTGTGAACTGAATGCTTTTACAAAGATTGCGTAGCAAGGTACGTACTCTGAATCAGTGAATGACATGTTAATTTGTTCCGATATAAATAGTGTGCAATACAACTGAAACTCCAGAATGCTTTTATGTATCATCCCCAAGCTCGTATAAAGCCAATATATAGTCCACGTCTCTGACGCACTGTAACCTTAATGTTGAAGTCAATATATTATGTTTTGGGTTCATTCCAAGCGTAGCAAGCTTATCTGATTTTAATATTTTTATTTCTTGAGTAATGATTCTGTAACTGTTTCAGTTTGTGTATTGTACTGCCCGCGCAGTATCTGTCATCCCCCCTCTAAAAATGTTATAAACTCGGTGTTGAACTTTTGACACTTCCCCAGCATCAATTAAATTGGTCAGTGAACCATGATAGAGACGTTTGTACATGTAAGGTCAATGGTCCGTAGTAGTAACAGGATACAAGTGTTAAAGTTGAAGTTTTCCATCCGAGAACCTTTTTCTTGCATGATGGATTAACAGGTAGTTTTTTTCTGATAAAATTGAAAAATAAATAAATAATTCTAGTAATATATTCATGATTGATTCCACTCTGGCATTTTACTTTAAAAAAATGCAAGTTGGGAAAATACAAGGTGGCTATCCAAAACAGGTAACTAACTTAATTTTGTGCAACACTATATGGTTCAGATTACACACGTAGCAAAATAAATGGGAATGGTAACACCTGTCCCAAAAGAATCTGGATGCGCCCCTGGTTAGGTCTAAAGAAAATATAATAAAAACTGTTGAGCATAACTAATAAAAAATGACTGTTGAATATTATATATATATAATAAACATTGTAACAATGAAAACAACCAAAACATTAAATGATGTATTCTTTCTTGCATTTCAGGCAGCACAGGAAGATTTGGAAGATGTGAATAAATCCAAAGAGGCTGCAATTATCGAAAACAGCTGGATTGAAACTGAAGAATTATTATATGCAAAAAAAAAATAACACGTGATCATTAAATGGACTGCATGATTGCAAGACATCGTAAACATGCTGTGCAGTTGTGGCCCAATATTGATTCAAAAGTATCCATCAAAGCCATTTTATCACATATATTTTGTTTTTAGATACACTGGGAATACATGATCTCTTATCAAAAACTCAAACTTTTCCTTTATGGCGACCTCCCTTCTAGTTGAGGCCAAAGCTCCCTCACATATCCTCCCCACCTAGACACTTTCCTCATTGGTTGCGAAAATTCATGGGCCCCCTTTATGGGTATCGAGCCTCGTATTGGTATGTCCTGGAATCAGGAATTATTTTAGGTTACAACCAATATGAAACTCCAAATATGGTAAAGTTGAAAATTGCCACCTATTTGAAGAAATATATCTTAATGAGGACAGTTATGAAGGATGGGGGATTTTCCGATAAAAATTTCTGTGAGATGTATTTGCTGAGGAGAGCCCCCATCCCCACCCTGGTCTTAACCGTCCAAGACCACTGGTATACTGTTTGTCTATCAATACTTGTTTAAATACACATACATGCAATAAGCCAGTGTGTAGTCCAATGAGTATACTTGAGTAACTTACAGAGCAGTATTAAACCACAAGAGGCTTGAAAATCTGTTTATAATATAATAACAAAGCATGTAACTGTTCACGGAAATGTACCTGGCAAGTCTAGTACATTTTACATGATGTGAAATTAGCAAGCAATGGTTAAGCTTAATTGACCCTCAACTTGGAAAAGTTTGGGGACTGTGATTAACTGTTGCCTCAGCACATTTCATGATAGCACACAATACACTTGACTGACTTATTGTAGAATGGATTCTATGCTATACCCCTAGTTTACGTACGTAAGATAATGATATTTTGAATGTCAGAAAAGTATGAACTCAAGACAATTTTCACAAGCCTTCCCTATTTTTTGCATAAAAATTGATAACTGAAGTTTGATGTGATTCATGTATTACAATATTTATTTGCATTGAGATTGTTGTTTTATGACACAATGTTAATTAGTCCCCCACCTGTCACCGGAGGGGGGATATAGAAATTGATTTAAAATTCTTGCTGTTACCATTAACATAATCATACGAAAAAGTGTATACTGACATATGACCCATGGCAAAATCCTAGAAGACCTAAAGACATTTGTGACACACGTGCACTGCTGCTGGTCTGTAGGAAATATATGTTTCACCCTCTACCAATAGGCACTAAGGAGATATTGCAACAGTCATATAATTATTCATTCGGAAGTCAACTCTTTATGGCAGAAGCAGAGCCCAAAGCTTCTTGAAGCAGTTCATGTTGTTGGTCCTCGGAGGGAAAATGCATTTCAGACTATTACCAACACAGACATTAGATAAGATTAGATATTCGTTCACATCATTTTCAGCAAATTTAAATGGTGTTTATCCTGCATCTCGACTGACTGTATTGTGTTCGTTTTTCCTAAAAAGTTATATATATCACTATGGAAATATTGCAACATCAAGAAAGCATGCGTCTTGAGTACTTTCAGTACTTTGATTTTATCAATCAGGAAGTTTTGTTATTTGTAAGTCCTTGTCCTGTTTTTATCAATCAGGAAGTTTTGTTATTTATATGTCCTTGTCCTGTTATCGTACTAGCCCTAGTGATTCAGGAAATCTAATTTATATTTTTTTTAAAGAATTGATATTTTTTAGTATAACTGACATTTTTTTTAAAAACCTGTTATAACAAAAACATGTTTATGTGTAACACGTTATATTGATCGTAATTACACAAGACATAAGTCCCCCAACGGTTCTAGGGGCATATCTTCTATACTATTTCACCTGGATTAACCAGATTTCGTGTACAAGGACACACATCTTGGGATGACTGAGTGCCGAGTGCAAGAAGAAAATCACCATCCCCTCACTGTAACATATGATGTGACCTTTGACCTTAACTTTTGAAAAATTTTGCCCGGCCATATCTTCTATACTTTTTCACATGGAGTGACCAGATTTGGTGTACGAGGACATATTGGGATGAAGGTGTGCAGAGTGCAAGAAAAAGGTCACTAAGACCTATC